CTGAGGTTGAGGAGACTGCTGGTAGTGAGTGCCGGCTACCAGAGCGTTCCCGATTGCTGAATCTGTCATGCTAGGCACTGGTGATATCGTGCGGGAACTGGTTCCATGCTGCATGCTTGGGGGGCTTGAGAGAGATGTCGACGACGACACAGAAGATACAGATGCCGAGCGAGTCTCTGCCTGCTGCTTTGTGGCTGGGTTCGAGGAGGAATAATAATTGGACGCATTGAAGGCCACTTCGCGGAGAAGTTCAGGGGTCGAGGATGACAATGGCACTGCCGGAGGCGAAGGAGGGAATACACGGTGTGCAGGACCTCCGAAATACTGCTGTTGCGGGTAGCCCGTTACTTCAAGCATGGTTTTGGTTGAAAGGCGTCGAGGTAGAAATGTCAAGGTAGAAGGGTTGTGGGCCAGGGCTGATAGCCAGGAATGGGAAGGGAACCGGGTCCCTCTTATGAATCCTGAGCGGCTGGCTGCGGGAGCTGTGGTGTTGATGCAGACGGCAGCTGGGGCGTTGACCGAGTGGTCGGCGGGAGAAGGCTTCGGCACCGGGAGCAGGACTCGTGGATGAAGACTGAATAGGGGGGGCTTTCTCTTCAGGCTCTGCTTGAACCGCGACAGTCCAGGAACCTCAACGGCGGGCCCTGCAGACAGGGATGGAGGGGTGAGGGAACCAGATGTGCTGTAGGCTGGGCTGGGGCACACTTTGACCTGCAGCGGGTTGTGTCGCAACGGGGGAGAGACTTTCATCAAGCCGATTTGAGGCGTCAGGTAGCAGTCGAGGTACCTTATCCACCCGAACAACACACCACACCTTGTCCTGTAGTGATCTGCAACTGATACCTTTGTGAGCTCCTCAGTCGCGTTTTCATTTGGCAAACAAGACAGAGGGACAAGAAACGGATGTCTCGATGGAGGACACAAATCGGCCCACGCAGCCCTTTCTAGAAGGGACAAGCGCGATCAGAAATGTCCTGCGACATGGTCTTTTTGAACCCGAGCTTTGATTGGCACTGGCCCTGTGAGACTTGCAGGACGAAATCGAGCGTGGCCTAGGCATGACTCTGGACCCGCAGCCCCAAACAGCTCACCCGGGGTACTCTCCGGAGGGCAGGACACTCACTGTGGTGGTAGCTTGAATCCAGGTCGGCGGGCTATGCGTGAGATGCACGACGAGAAGCTGAAACAGAAATGATATCTCGAAATAGCGCTGTCCTCGTGAGGAGGTGAGAGACGAGGGAGCAAGCAGGTGACGGGCAAGCAATCAGGCAAACCACATGAAGAGGATGGAATGTGCCGCTCAGGATGGAGGATACTCGTGGGGTTTATCCCGTTTCCGCCAAATGGCGCCAGTGAGACTTTCATCGGGCGGTACCTTCCTGGACAAGGGACGTATCGACTAGCCCTACTAGCCCGTCCACTTTATTGCTTCCTGCCCACCTATTGATGCGACAGCAACAACGCAGAGTGCAGCCAGAGAGGTAGGGGGGCATACACAGTTAGGCAGGGCGTGGTGGTTATGCCAAGTGGACTTGACTAGGGTCCTGTCACGGAGGTGACAACCCCATGCATAACAGATCTTTTTACGCACCGAAGCATGTCAGACTGGACGGGAAGCTTGTCATCTTGGCTTGCTTTGGCGTGTGGTTTTCGCCCGTCTCCCACACCAGCCAGAGTTGATTTGCATTCATCTACAGAGCGCAGCTGCCATGTCACGTTCAAAAGGTCCCCTCCTTCCTCTCGCTTCTCACTATCGGTTTGCAAGCAAGGAAGGTGCACACCGCTACGCACGAAATGTGGGAAGGAGGGAGGGTGGGAACGAAGGTGAGGTGATGAAGTGCGTCGAGTTGCCTGCGCACTGTGTAGGGTTGAGGAGGAAACCTGCCACCCTAATCTCAGGCCATCTCCCACACACCTAATGACGGCAACGAACGGTCAAAATCCACTTGCCGTCCGTCAACCCGCCCATATTTTGATCCATGCACAGACGAGGAAAGAAAAAGGGCCACATCCCGGCAAAGCTCCCACGGGTTGGAGTGTGGAGGGGGAAGGTCGAGCGAGGAAGGAGGTGGTACAGCGTCAGAATCTCAACCCGGCCGATCGCGAGGGGTAGGGCGTAGGTAACCACCAAAGGCGAAGGACCCGCCCCAAGCCGCTCAACCACAACCCCCAGATGGCAGTCCGGTGCAGATTATGCCCGGGAATGTGGCCTATGAGGGAGCGAAGCCTTCCATCCAGAAATAAGCGCACGACCAACAGCATCTTGGCAACCAAGCTGCAGCCAACCAGCTTGCATATATTTGATCCACTGACACAGTGTACCCAGACGCTCGGGACGGGCCGCGAATTATGATTGGCGTAGATTTAGGGCCCGAACTGTCGGGAACGCTAATTCAACGTGTGGTGGGTCCCAGAAAACGAAGGTTTCCAGGAAGAACACATCCCCCTCAGTTTGAAAACCTGTCCTTTTCTGGGTCTCATGCTTTCAAGATTTGCGTGTTCAAGAAGATATGCCCTTTGTGTCTGCTGGGAGCAGCGCCTGCCGTTATGTCAAATTTCCCCCGTGAGTGATGGAAAACATAGCAACGAACTCTCCAACAAAAATGAGCTGTCAAATCTGTCAACAAAACGTGCGGTGCTTGCATCGCGCTTGCCGTACGGGCGGTTTTCTTCCTTCCCATATGTGGCGTGACACAGCGTCATGTCCCGTTGCCGAGCCCCTGTGATGCTATCCATCTTGACCTCCCCTATCAGCGAAAGAGGATACGCTCGCCCCAGAGTCGTCGACTCGGTTTAGTTCTGCCACAAATCACCAAGACAAATATGAGATGATACGGGCCGGTGGGCGACATGATGGGGTAGAATTCGCGGCGAGAGGGCGGCGCAGCTCTTTGGCAAAATCAACGGTTGCCACTGATATTTGCCGGCGCCGAGCTTAATCGGATGACACCGTGATGGCTACATACTTGTTCATGCAGTTGGTACCACGACTTTCTTGGGGGCATACTCGTAGGGCTGGCTGTTGAGGCTCTGGCGCCGTTTCAAACGGAGGACCGAGGTGTCGTGTCATTTCTCCTCAGCTGTGCGGCGTGGGAGTTGGGGACAGCATCATGCAGCGCTGACCGACTGCTCCTCCAACCTTGGGAACCATCCTTGGTCTTGGCGATCCAAAATGTCTCTCCTTGTATGCTTTGATCATGGATGGGACCGGTGGCAGGGGGCCTTGGAAGTGGCATCGACGAGTAAAATTCAAACTTCTGAAAAGGGACGAGGTGGCAGAGCCAGCTATCGACGAACAACATGCAGTTTGCAAGCGCTGAACCAGTCTGTCGGGTCCTCTAGCGTGAGAGGGTGCATATCTACTGTTGATGTTGTTGAGATCGAACGTCCCGTGATTTGTCAGAGAACGGACTTGCGTCTGCAACCATGTACCACTCGGCGTCGGTGGACCTCGGTTTGTTACATGAGTGAGTTGAGAGATCTGGGATAAATGTGACGTTCTGCCTGTTGTTACTGAAATGGAAGGGGGACGGTGGAGAGGGAGGCCTGCCATACCCATGCGCTCACCACTCTCACTGCCATGGCCGCGACGAATGCGGCCCGTCTCTCGGCATGTCCACGGCAACTTTTTGTGTGGTTTACCGGCGCCGGTTCAAAATTCACTGCTCGGGGCTGTGTAGCGGGGGGACCGGGGACTAGTGTCAGTAGCTCCGATCTTTTCCACCCTAAATCAAGTCTCGATATTGCGGCTGCACGGCGGCTACGCTTGAGAAAGCCGTACAAGATGCCTTACTGCAATGACATGACGGCCAGCAAGTTTCGCTCCATGGCCTGCCTCCAGTAAACCCTTTCCCGAACCTCCGACAACAACATCCGCCGTGGAGTGAAACCTCCTGTCCCGAGCGAGATCATTCTCTCAAGATACATCCTCTGATTGGGATAGACGCAAAAGCCTCATCAACGCAGCCGCCGCGCACACCATCCAAATCACAGTTACCTACCAGGCTTCTCGCCAGATATCTCCTGCAATCACCGCCCCCTGCCCCATATATTTAAGGCTACCTAAGGTAGGCTCGGCTTTTCTTCAACAACGCCACAACGCGGGGTCACCTCAACCCCCTCGCGGCGCAGCAACCTCACTCGTCAACATCCGGTCGTCGTCGGAATTTAGAACCGGTAGGTTGTAGTGTGTCGTCGAGCGGAGGGCAGATGGACAGGATATACCAGGCTTGAAGTGATGTCGGTAAATGGGCTGTGCCTTGCTTTCACATCTGACGTTCCATGCTTGCGGGGCCGGAAAACCCGTGTTGGTCCGGAGGACGGTGGGGCTTCGGCTTCGGTTTCGCTTCCCCGCGGGGGCTTGGCTGGACGGAGAGCTCTTGCCGCATCGGTATCTTGGAAGGCATCGTCAGCAATTCTTCGATTTTGACCGTGATTCCTAGGTTTTTTTATAGGTTTTTTTTCTGCATTTGATAAGCAAGAGACGGGCTGATTTTGAGAGTTGATACACTCCGGATCTTGGTCTGGTCCTGCGCATCTTGATGGCATCCTGTGATCTTTTCCGCCGTTTGATCTCCGGCTCCGGGCTGGTGTGCATTTCCTGATTCCCTTTATGGCTACATCTTTCTGTCACAATGGCTTTCGGGTTCGAATTATTCCAGAACAAATAAAAACCCTTCGCTTCAGTTCATTTGGGAGGCTCCCTTGTCGAGACTCTTGAGACTTGTTTGGGCGATGGAGATGCGACGGTGACACAAGCGGTGCATTTCCAGGTATCAGAGTTGACAGTTGCTATTGCTTAGTGACTAGCTCAACAAAAGGAATCCTTTGTGTTGCCGGACGAAAAGAAAGTAAACATTCTGTTCAGATGACCCCTCCTATTCCGACCCTGACCCTAACCCTAACCCACTCTTTGTCCATCTCCCCTTTCTCCCTTTGACCCTATTTTCGTTTGGTGATATGTTTTTGTGTGGTTTCTCTCTCTTCTCTGGCATGCGGTCCTAAGGTGGAGAAGCTGCTGCCAGTGCCACGGTCGTCAGGATGGGGACCTGTTGTCTCGGTCAGCTTTCCGGTTACTGTGTAAAGAAAGCCAAATGATACTCACCCCTTCGGTATTATCTGCACTAAAAACGACAGTAGTCCAAGCATCTGCCACCACTCCTCCTGGGACGACCGAAGGTGGCGGGGGGGCGGTAACAGTCACTGTGAGCACCCCTCCTGGGACAACCGACGGTGGCGGGGGGGCGGTAACAGTCACTGTAAGCACCCCTCCTGGGACAACCGGCGCTGGCGTGGTCATCGCCGTGTTAATATCGCTGGCAACCGGGGATGGAGGAGGAGGCGCGGGAACAGCTGTGTCTGGGGCTACCTGGGGAATCACCACCAAGGACGTCGACTCCTGCCAGATTGTGCTGACAGGCATTCCATTGGAGAATGATGTCACGGGCACCGTCTCAACAAGAGTGACAGTACGGCCTCCTTCCTCTCCTGCTGCTGGTGGAATGACCGGGGTTGGAGAAGGAGGAGGTAGGGGCGAGGGGGTGGTAGGTATGCTGATGGGGATGGCGGAAATAGTGATTGTTGTGTCTCCGATTGTGGGAGAAGGGGGTGGACCGGTGACAATGATTGTTGTGTCTCCGGGTGCGGGAGAAGGGGGTGAACCAGTGACAGTGATGGTTTTCGTAGAGATGAATGAGATGGGCGGTGCGGGGAAAGGGACGGTGACGGTTATCGTGCTGACTGGTGGTGGTGCCGGGGCTGAGGCGATAACAGTGGGAAGACTTATGGTTATCGTACTAGCTGGCGCGCCGGAAGGTGAGGCAGTGACAGTAGGGAGAGTGACGGTGATCGTGCTGCCGGCTGCTGTAGGCGAGAGCGCAACAGGGGCTGTGACGGTGATGGTACTTCCAGGCGGTGGAATGGCTAGAGTTGGGTTGGGGCTAGGGTTTGAGATGGGAGAGAGGATGACCGTCACTGTGTTTACTGGGATCGGCGTGATTGTGACGAGTATGGGTGTTGGGGGAGGTGGAGATAAGGTGAGGATTATGGGGGAGGGTGTGGAGTCTGAGACAGAGGCGGCAGGCGAGAGAGCAATAGGGGTGCCGACTCGTACTGTTGTTGATGCGGCTATCACCGTGGCTGAAGGGGATACCGATGTGATCACTGGTGGACCTTGTGAGACCAGGGGAGACTCCGAAGTAACGACGATGGGACCTTGTGAAGGCCCTGAGGAAGGACTGGCCAAGGTAAGAGTAACTGGAGTGGTCGTCAAGGCAGTCACCGCGGATAGTGTGATATTGAGAGATACCACCGATGTGGCATTGGCGATTGTCGAGTTGAGTGGACCTGTACCTAGAGGAGGGCTTATGAGCACGCTCGTCTGGTTCTGCGGATCATCTGCTCGGTGGTAGATCTTTCGGGGGAAGATGTTGTTCTCGCCATTCTTCTCGTTGACATCTTGAGATGAGGCCCCGTTGAGAATGGGTGCTGGAGCAGCCAGGGTGCCGATGTCCCTGCTTGCAATGATGTAAACTATAAGAAGTAATAGATGCATTTTGAAGGCTTTAAGAAGAGCAGCAAGGCGTCGGTTTTTACAAGCAGCCCGAGAGGTCCTACTTGGGTTGATCAAGACATGGGACCTTCTTGTAAAGAGTTCAAAGTGAGTGTTTCAACTAAGTACTTTGGCCTGACGTCAAAGGTTACGACTTTGGTCAGCCTTCCGCAAATAATATATCTGCCTACCTATCCAGCCACTCCAAAGTATTGTCTGCATGATGAAAGACCTTCAGCTCTCTTTTTTGAGCCAAACTATCCGCGTAATGTGGCCAAAGTGCGTTGTTTTCACGCTTCCGATGAGAAGTTGTTGCACGTGGGAACATCTTGAGGCCTGGAAGAAAGTTAGTATCCAAAACAAATCGTACTCTCTGAGGTTCACGAAGACTGGACAGGCGGCTCCCAGCATCCGATGTCGAGGAGTTCATGTGCACCGTGTCCTTGACACATCACCCAAATGCTCCCTGTATAACCAACATGTTGGTTCCTGACGCATCATTTCCGAGTCACCTGTCATGACAAATATCTGGGGATCATGGAAATAATGCTGAAGAAGTATGACGAGACATGGGTTTCTGTGGTGTAGGGGGGAGATTTTCGAAATGCGGAGGCAGTATGACACTGTCTAAGGCATCGTGCTGATGTGAATCTCGATCCGAGACAACGCATGGCCGGAGATCACCTGTGTGTTTTTGTCAGTCCAGTCCATTCTTTCTGTGTCACCGTACCACAACGTACTCACATGGCAGGTATGGCAAGCCGGGACCTGTGGCAAGAACATGTAACCACGGGAAATCACATTTGTTCCTGCATATTTGGAAAGTCGGGACGTCAACCGATGGTCGTATCACGGGAGTTTTGGAGCTCGTATAGGCGGTCCTTGCGTGACAAGTTTCACAACCACACCGAGGGAACATCAACACTCTGAACACGCGGCCAGCAGCCCCATCATTTTCTGTTATATCCTTCGTCAGCTCCCACACATGCCTTCCATTGTGTAATATACATTGTTCGATTGCCATCCACATCTTCCCAATGCCAAAAGATGGTCTGAACGTGAGATGTTGTTGTGTGTCAGTGTATTCCTTGTTGGCACACGCGCCAGTGAGCTTTCATGCCGTAACGCCGCTTATGTGATATGGGTTTGATCAGCCCTGGAGTATGTAGCTAGAAACTGTTAAATATCGTGCACCCGAAAGAACCGATGGTAATTGAAGACTTACATGCCAACTATGGTGGCCACCGCCAGAGTTATTCCCAAAATCGTGAGGAATGCAAGCATGAGACCCATAGCTCGCATTTTTCTCTCTTCTTCTTCCTCAACGGTCTCTGTGCGCGGGGCAAAAACACGGACAGTCAAGGTGCGGCGGGTGGCAGTCGAGTTGTTATTGGTCTCGACTGGGTGGTTGTTGCTCTCAAGGTCGACATGATAGAAAGGGTGAGGAGAACGAGACTCCAAGGGAATGGAATTCTGATAAACAGCAACAGCCTTGTAGGGGGGGACGTTTTCGGAAGGAGCCGCTTCCTGGATGTTCCTGTCTCTCTCCATTGTCTTGACTTCCAGACTGTTTCCTGGATGTGGCTGAGAAGTGTTCAGGTTGTGATCTTGCGAAGGAGGCGCCATCGGTACGCAGTTGTTGAACTCGAGATGGCAGTCAGTTTTACAGTCGGCGACTCGGGAAACTTTCTCTCGTTACTTAGGCGGCGGGCTGTCCTGTCCAGTTTCTGCCTGGCAGTGAAAAGGGCGGTTCTGAGCATCGTTCCTTCCTTGCCAAAGGAGATATCGGCTTCAGATGACGTAGGTATATTTTATTCAATTACACACCTGGCAGCCACTCCATGCCGGCCTGGCATCTCTTTGGCTGATTTCGATCATCCTCTTCATAGAGCACATCGACCAGGTGGTATGGTATGGTATGAAATAGTTGCTCCCTCCTGTGAACACACTGCCTGAGAGCCACCAATAATGCCATCATCCAATCAGCCCCTAGCCTTCCCCACAAGCGCTCTATTTGAGTGCCTCAGAAATTTGCATGTCTTTGTAACACATCGAGTCACTTCCACTGTCTCCAGACTGGATCCAACCTCCCATGTGTCGTCTCGGCCGTTGACATCGTCAACCAGCCCCTTTCTACGACAAGGCCGCCAAACAGATTTTGATCTGGTTACAACAATGAGAAGACTGATCTAATCACGAAGATGCCTGGCCAATTTGGTGCTTCCAGTTGTGTCAGGACCGCACACCGTGACCGCAACTTCCCATGCAGTTGGTATTTAGAGATTCTTTGTTCTGGCTTCACTCGGGAAATTGGTTGGTTACTTACCAGCACCGCCAGCCCAACAGTGCCGAGGTTTTTCAAGCTTATAATACTCCCTCACCTCTCTCCTTCAACACTTGCTTCTTCCATTCTTCAAAACCTTCCGGTCCGTCAGCTTTTCCATCCACACATCACCTCTACTTTATTCTCCATATTGTGTCTCCAAGTGCTTCAGAGTACGAGCTTCATTAAGTCGAGAAATCATCATACCATATATTCAGCACCAACACGTTTGTCGAACGCAATTTCTCGATCACGGCACACCGCCTACCCCAAAATCCAGTCCACGACTTTCATCAGTCTCAATCTGAGCATTACCGTTCCTCCCTCGAGACACAATCATCTGACATCTTTTCATCATCCATAAGCACACAGACTGGCTCACAGATAGTCATCTCACGCACCAAGACGGCGCCCTTTCCACATCAAACATCTCTAGTGACTAACTCCACTGATCATCAGTCAGACGATCACTGTTGTCGCAGCCGTCACCATAGTACCATCATCTCAGTCATCATTTTACAGCATCGCATCTTCACATAAAACCCTTTTCACCTATTCATAATCTGGTTCTCTGTTAGCAGTTTGCATGTTATAAAGTATCACTCAACACATTTCTCATCTACAAACGGTATCAATACACCGATCTTGACGTCTTTTCTCACCTCTCATCCCTCCATTGTTATTTCACTTCTCGCTATAATGGAGCCCATCAAGATCAAGACCACCGTTCTCACCGCCGACGCTTTGGCGAAAGCCATGGCCGAGATGCAATCCATCCTTTCCCAACTAACCCCCTCAGAGTACAAAGATGCCCTGGCCATCCAGTCAGGCGACGATTCCGACCGATCAGCTCAGAAGCTGTTCTCCGACCCGGGGGGCAACGACTCGGTCAGCTCTGACCAAAACCTCACCACCACAACAACCCTTGCCTGTCCCAGTCATCCAACCACCGACGAACCCACCACCACCGAGACAAAACCCGGGCAAAACAACTACCACATCCTCCCGCACCCGGCCCCGGTCTCCAAATCTGAGCCGCGGACTGTGAAAATCGGCACGCTAAACAACATCCCCATCTACCACTACTTCTCCCACGCCGAGCAGTTCCTCGCAAGCCAAGAATACGCCACCCCGTTCGGGAAGCGCTTCCTCCTCGACGAGCCAGACAGCTTGTTGCCTTCCGATGACCCCTCTGACAGGGTTTTCCATCCTCCCGTCCACTCGGAGGAGTGGTGGCCTGGTCCGGGGAACGCAAACAGGGATTTTCGATTCAAGAAATATTTTGAGATACGCAAGTCGGGGCTTGGGGGGTTGGGGGCGTTTGCTACGGTGGATATTGAGATGGGTAGGGTTATCTTGCTGGAGAGGCCGCTGCTGTTGACCACGCATGGGAGGGTGGAGGATGATGTGTTGGCGATGCGGCAGGAGGGGAAGGGGATTTATAGGAGCTTGGATGGGGGAGGTGAGGTGGGGTGGGTGAGCAGGGTGAAGGATCGGAATTGGTGAGTTTATATACTGGATCTTAAGTTACCTAGTTGAGGGCGAGTTGGTGGCTAACATGATGTGTGTCTGTGTAGCTTTGATCTGGGAGGTGGGATAGGCTTCTTTGGGATTGCCTCGAGGTTCAACCATGCTTGTCGGGGTGCGGCGAATGTGAATTATAAGTATGATCATCACAGAAAGGTGATGGTTATGACGGCGAGGAGGGATATCGAGGCGGGGACGGAGCTGTTTATTGACTATGGGGCTGGGTCTTCGGCTTGCTTGTATGCCATGTATGGGTTTGTTTGTCGGTGCGGTGGGGGGTGCAGGCGGTTGACGAGGAGGGATTTGGAGGCCATGGGGGCTGGGTTGAAGGAACTTGTGAAGTGGGGGTTGGCGAGTGAGAAGGAATTGGCGTGGTGATTGGGGGTTTGATAGGGGGGATGAAATGCGGTGATTTATGTGGGTGATTTTCTCGCAGTTTTTTTTTTTGGTTATATTTCGCTACTTTGGTGAATTGAACGTTGTGTTGAAGTTTTATTGATGGTCCTGGTGACAAGTTGGTTGTACAACAGAACTATTGATACACGTCAGTATAAACGTGTATTGACCGTCGACTTACCATGCGTGTGCTTCACTTGATAAATCCCCGCAGGGACAGCGTTGGATCAAGGAAAAGGGGCTTCCAGGCGACAGGCTAGGGGTTAGGGTATGAAGGTCTTGCCCCTTTTTGACCCCTATTTGCTGATGTTATGCTGCTTCCACACCCATCATAGATAAGCATCATGTTTCCAAGGGAGACCGGGCCTATTGGTAGGGGCGCTCAACAGAAGAGGTATGTCTGTTGCGCATCATGACAAAATCGAGCAATCTGCAACCATAAACTCCATCTGACATCCGGGCAAGAGCTCAACGCAAATGGTCCTCTCGTCTTTCGTGAAGCACACAGAAAGGGTTAAGGTTGATTGATGGCCTCGTTCGTATTCCAAAGTTGAACACCCTATCACACATGCAAGCGTGATATGACACAATATCACTCGAGATATTGAGGCGGCAGGAGACGGCAGGCCATGAGGAGCTTAACTGGCGGACGGCAAGGCCAGAATCTGCAAGCCTCATCCCAATCTTTCCCGGGACGACCACATCAGGGACACACACACACGCACACACCCAGGCAGACAGAGTGGTAGGTGAATGAGCGGACGCGGTCCGGCTGCATGCATCCAAAAGTGCGATATTCTCCAGATTGCCATGTTGTCCGATGTGGCCTAGTGCATATGTGGTCCATCCCACACTCAGGCCTCGCTACGACGCTGAAGCAAATAGAAACTGATAGCCAGGGCAGGAAAGATAGATGGGCACGACACCCTCTTTTTGTGAGTGATGTGAAGAAGGGGAAAGGGGTGGGGTGGTAGTATTTGTTTTCCATCCCACGGCCGGCAAACTACTGGCTCATAACGCAAGGCCGAGGGTTGCCGACGAGGTGCGTGTGCGTTTGTGTGTTGCCTTGTCCAGTATCAATCACCATTCTTCGTATCACGACTTGGTTGCAGCCTTCCTGCCAACCACTATGGATGCTTGATTTGAGCAAACACACTTGCTTCTATGATCAGTCATTTTTGCGGAGACACGCCAGCGCTTCTCTGCTCCTTGATATCAAGCAGGTCTGATGTAATGTAAGCAGTCGGCCCCTCATCGTGAGATCTGATAAACAAATGGCGATATCGGCACGGCTTTTGCCTTCCTTTGCCTAGAGACGGTTGTCAAGTTTCCAAAAAAAGAAAAGAGGGTTCGAAATGAGACAAGATGACGGCTGAATTCGCAAAAGGCCAACTGGATGAGAGGCGGTGAGGCGCCGGAAAATTGAGTCATAGAAAGCCAGATAGAGCTTCTCTTGGTGTGAGATGCTGGATGGATAGCTAGGGAGATCTCGGCATGTGCATTGGGACGGAAAGCTACTTGCTCAAATGCTGTCATGGTCGCCAAGATGAAGCTGCAGCAAGCACGCTAGGCTAATGCAGCAGATCTCGAATCGTTTTGGGCCGTCTGGGGGGAATACAGACACCAAAGCTATATGGATTGGGTGGTCGTCATGGCGAGCACTACCTAGAAATGGCTTGGTCGTAGATTGGAACCGGAAGATAGGCATTTGAACCGGGCCATCGATAACCAATCGATAATGATACGGACATTGAACCGCTCGTGCTCTGGTGGGAAACCGAGTGGGATACCACCACCGCCTCGGCCGCGGATGCAAGCACTCTGGGCCGTTGGTGATTCATACGAATAAAACAGGTCGGTGGCGCACGAATGAGAAATGGATTTTGCTCTGGCGTGAATATCGAGCAAATCCTCGGAGGGAACAGCCGCAACTGGGTGTGAATGGGCTGTTAATTGAGGGGCCGGTGGAGGTATAAGACCCGAATATGAAGAGGTGCAGACGCCGGACGGGCCATAGTCTGATACGAGGGATAGCCGAGCGCTCAATGCCTGTGAGCACCCATGTGGCTTCTAGAACGATTGGACAATGAACAAAGTGTGCGAGGCACGGCGAATGTATGTAATCCATGTCGGCACAATCTAGATGATGCGTATACACCCGCTGTATGTCATGGCCGTCTCGGCATCATGAGCATATGTCTGTCTGCCTTTCATATGTCAACCTCCGCCGAGAAAAAGACCGGTCTTGCCGGAAAGCTCCGGAGAGCATCGACCTCACCTCTTCGATGCCGTAATGGGGCCGAGGACCCTCGATGACATCTTGATCGACCGATCCAGAAAGACAGAAGCTGGTGTGGTGGAGGGGCATCCGGCTTTACTGTGGTGCAGGGGTAAGTTTTGCCTTCTTGTCAAGTACTCGCGCTAGTCAAGGTCCACCCTGACGATTGTATTCTACAAAATAATCACCATATCTATAGCTAGTATTTTGTATGCATACCATTCGCTGCAATTACTGCCTCACACCGACTGGGCATCGAATCCAACAGCGTTTGAAGGTAAGATTCCGGAAGCTCTTGCCAGGCCTCCTCCACGTACCTCTTCAACTTCGCGTACGACGGCTTCTCCTCAAGGCCGTATTTATCCTCAATATAATCCTTCATCCAATTCCAACAGGATTCAATAGGGTTTAAATCTGGGGAAAAAGGAGGCCAATCAACTACTCTAATCTTCCTATTCTCAAGATCCTTCTTCGTACCGGCCGCTCGATGGCCAGGTACGCCGTCCTGCATAAAAGAAAGCTGTAAATGGTGTTGCTCGAAGGTATCGTCAATAAATTCGTGGACGTTAGGAAGGATATTCTTTCGGTAAGAATACTCATTGATCGATCCCCATTCCTTTTCCCAGAAGATACCAGGGCCTTTAGTTGAGCCGTAAAAGCAGCCCCAGAACATCCACCCTCCTTTTCTCTGGTGCTTTTCAACGATACAAGTAGGGTCCCATTCCTCGTCGATTCGGCGTGTAACATACTGCTTACGGTGAGGACCACCAACTACCCAGGTTTCGTCACTCCAAAGGATTGTACGCCATTGTTCGAGAGTCCAGTCTTTATGTTCTATAGCCCAGGCCAGTCGCTTTTGCTGGTTGGCTTCTGAAATAGGAGGCTTCTTCCGAGCAACTCGACGGCGAAATCCGTGGCGGTAAAGGGCGTTGCGAATCGTAATCCAGTTAAGAAGGGAGTTGAAAAGGGCAATAGAAAGCTCCAGGAAGCTCATCCGACGGTGTGCCTTTGATTCACACACATACCGAATAAGCTCGAGCTCTTGATCGGCCGTAATAACGCGTGGTCGGCCAGATCGTGGGGCGACCTCGGCCGCCGGGGCTCGTATCGCATGGCGGATTTGGTATTTCGTATAACCAGTGGTTTCTTGAATTCGGGGTTGGCTAAGGTGGCCGTCGAAATAAAGGGTACGAATTCGTTGACGCTCTTCAGTAGTAAGGTGGCGATTGGGAGCCATTGTGGTGCTGGCTGGCTGGCTAAGTGGTGTTGAAAGGTGGAAAATACTGGTCTGGAGGAAATTGCGGTAGAATTTTGGCCGAAGTTGGCCTAGCCAAAAAAACAAGGCCCTGGGCGGTACTTGACAAGGGGGCAAAACTTTTGTACGTAACCACAGTACTGACATGGGCTGGCCGAGCCAAAATCTTGGTCAAGAATGAGCAAGTATGAGATGGCGGTCAACATGTTGCGCCCTAGTATTGCTTTTTAGGGTATCTTCCAATTGGCGAAGCCTCTGCCGCAACTGATTGGCGAAGGAATATTATTCCTTGGGGAAGGGACAACAAGAACATGGAGTCCAATTAGATAGCCAAGTTTTCCCACCTTCTCGGTTTCCACGGCTTACGGGACAAAGCCAGCGGTCCCTTTGGCACGTTTGGTACGGAGATGGTGGTGAGAAAACCGGGGGAGGGTACCCCACGCGGGCTATGGAGTGGACGTCAGTCTCCCGTCTCCCGGGCAGATCGGGACCTGCCTCTGGGCGTATGCCAAATGTTGTCGGCCTAGGACCCCAGCCAAACGGAAAGCTATCCGGTTCAGGTGTCATGGTGGCATCCAGAGCTATTTGCTGGCTCAACTGGTTGACGACTAAAGGTAGAACGAGTGGCCGTCCCCAAAACTCCAATGCCATTTCATTACGTCTCAGAACACACAACAACCACTGGCTGTCTGCCTAGATCCGTATACTAACGGGTAGCGGTTTACAGATGTGTGTGGTGAGACCCGTGGGGGTAAAGGAGAGAATGGGTAGGCCGATAAGGTGCTTTTGTGGCATGATTGGGAGATGCCGGAGGGGAGAGGCTGAGAGGGGCCCCGCCTCGACCAGAGTGTGTGCCAAGTTCAGCGGCACCATCGTGCGTTGACCGACGTTACTCTGAATCCCGGGAAGTTGTGTACACGCTTTTAGAACCGGCATGGAGTTTGATGTATATCGCTCATGGAGGCTCGACAGGGGGAGGGATATTGACATCCGGGTGAGATGGAGGTCGTCCGCGCCTCTCTTGCTTGTGATACTGCTTGCTGAGTTGGCCCTTCTTTCCGAGTGGTGGCAAGATGAGTTTTCCCTCATCCGATAAGCTCCGAGCAGCGGATGTTTGATATATCGAGCCACGCCCGAGAGTAATCCGGGGAACTCTCCACAGAGCGATAAGCCACCTCAGAGCTCACAGGGAAATGTGATGGGTCAAAACGCCATACTATCCGGGCCTGTCGAGCTGGCAACCTGGAAGTGCAGAGTGCAGACCGACCGCCTGTTGACGGCCAGAGAACACAGGCAGCCGTGACGCAGGCATCACCAGCACCAGGAATCGGATGAGACATCTGGGGGAGAGAGAAAGTTGCGTTGACGGGTGCTGTGCGCACAAGCTGTGCTGCAGCTGGTTTCCCTTGCAGCATGGATGGAAGCAGCGAAGTTTTTTCTGTGGGCTGCCCTGGTTTTAGTCGAGCGCCAAGACATGGCTTTTGGCGGGGTTGTTCCCTCTAGCTCCAACTTTCACACCCCACCTTTTCTCAGCCGAGGGGCAGCGAGGCACCACAAGCCAGCGAGGGGCAGCATTTCGAGGCTTGCCATTTGCTATCACCTATGCACATTCTGCTTCCTTAGACGCGGCCATCTGAGATAAGACATTGTGAGAGGTAAAGTGAGGTTGTAATTTGCCAGGTCCCAACCATCCCAAAGAGGCAGTCGACACCATCAGGATGAGCCAGAACACGGAGCGAAACGCGAGGGCAGCCTAACCATGAGGAGACATCTCTAACACAGACCGGGATACCTCTCATCATGGTGTGTGATGCACAGCGATGCGCCTGCGTCTCTCTTCCTGTTCACCGACTCCACCAGCGGCATGGAATTTGACTCCTTCCCGCTTGGGGTGGTCCTAGTTTTCTTTTTGTCTCGCCTTTTTTTGGCGGTCGACCAGTGAGTGTGGTTTTACAACGCTGACACCCCCAAGCCCAAGCCTCCTTCTCCTGCAACCACACACGAGCTTACTACAACCGTCCATTCTTCGTACGCTCCGGCCGCAGCAGGATACGTACCTCGCCTGGCTCTAGGACCTTGGAGTCAAGAAGCACTTCCTCGCCTTACTTTCCGCCCTCCCCTTCTTCCTCTTTTCTTCTTCACCATGAGCGCCCCCGCCGACTCTGCCCAACCTCTGGCGTCGACCAGCAACGATCAGGTTCCCACCTCTGCTGATATCAACACCAGCGATGCCTCGAGAGGACAGTCCGCCTCCGCCTCCGCCAGTGCCTCCGAACTCGCCCGTACAAAGATAACTCTCCAGGGCGCCCTCAAGTCGTTCCAGGACTTTCCCATTCCCGGTATCAACTTCATCGATATCCTCCCCTTGTTCCAGGACCCCGCCATCCACAACGCCCTGCTCCGCGCCCTCGAGCTCCAGGTGCTCGAGTTTGTTGGCAGCTTGAAGCCCGATGTGGTTGTGGGGTTGGATGCGCGGGGTTTCCTCTTCGGCCCTTCGCTCGCCCTGAAGCTCGATGCGAGCTTCGTGCCCGTCCGCAAAAAGGGCAAGATGCCCGGCCCCTGCGTGACGGCTGCCTATGAGAAGGAGTACGGCACCGACTTTTTCCAGATGCAAGAGGGTGCTATCAAGCCGGGCCAGAAGGTCCTGGTCGTGGATGACATTATTGCTACCGGTACGTTTTTCCTGAACTGAACTAAGTGGAATATTGCGCCATTGCGGCGGCCATTCACCACCCCTGGAACCTCCCCGCCAATGGGTTTCCCAAATTTTTTAGCACCGCCCCCTGCTTTCGAAAAACACCGGCCGCCGTTGCGGTCATACGTTGGGAAACCGCTCAAAAGCTTGGTTCTTCCGAGCTTCCTAAAAAGCCACAAATGAAACGAGCCTAGACTAACACAATCTTCACTCACAGGTGGATCTGCCGCGGCCGCTGGCACCTTGGTGAAGCAGCTCGGAGGTGAGCTGGTCGGCTATCTCTTCATCCTCGAGATTGCCTTCCTCAAGGGCCGTGAGAAGCTCGGTGGCGTTCCTACCATTACTCTCCTCGAGACGGATGAGTAAAATAGCTCGGCCGACATCGGTGCTTACACACTGACAACACACACGCAACAACACAATTCGGCGGGCTCTTATCCGACATATCCATATTCGACGGTTTCCGGGCTTTTTTATTTTTCAACATGAAACAGTTTAAATACCCCTACATTTGTTTTTTCTTACACGGGATGATTATTCGTCAATGATGGGTGTGTGCGCGTGTGGATTTTTCTTGGCCGATAGACTACTACTCCTACTGTGATCTTCAGGCAAACGGCATGGGAGCTTTACTGGATGGGCGTTGTGGTTTGTTCAAAAATCCGGAGTGGTGATTTGTGATGTGGTTGTGGGCAATGACATCATCACTATCAGGGAAAGTAATCAAGTAGACTTTGGGGCATGCTGATTGTTTCTCTTGTTGTACTACCACTCACTACCTACACTCTCGCCACGTTGCCTCGGTTGTGGGCGACGGGCAAAAATGAATAAAAAAAATAACATATGAATCGCTCTTTCATAGGTTCATGTGAGATATGGGACCAGAATAATATCTTCTCGTACTGCAATCAAGTAAGTGTGTGCTGCATCTCCCTCAAATCAATCAATATCACATCACATGCATCGATCATCAGAGGGCAAGTTCGCACATACACCCAAACATCAAGGTTCTCAGTCCTACCCTCGAGATGTAACAGCCAGTCTAGATTGATTGACTGCACAAATAGTGGATAAATCCAATGTCGACTATGGCAACGGCCCAGCATAAAGTGCAGGGGCAGCATGCAGCGGCCTCTAAAGATGGGATGAAGAAACATACTACTCGTATACATCCAACGCTAAATGCAAAAAAATAAACACTTCTAACCACCATCATCTAACCTCACATCAACCCAAACACAATTACCGCTCACCAAAAGAATCCATATACACAAAATTCCATACCTTAAAAATTCACACCACCCACTCCCACCCGTCAATCATATCTCCCTAACCCTAACCCCCCACCTACACCTAAACTCCTAATCAACCTCATCATTATCCCCCTCATCAACAATCACATTCCTGACCCTGAACCCCGAGCTCTCCACAAACCACCTCCTCGCCAACCCCATCCTCTTCGCAGCCCCAAGCTGCTCATACCCAACATCCCCCCCACCAACCATCACCATCGGAATCGGATGCCTCCTCGCAAACCCAGCAGGCGTCACCTGGACCTCATCCAGCAACGGCCTGATCAACCCCGCTTGCTCCCTCAGATGCGCCGCCGACGACGACTCGGCCCCGTCATCATCCGACACAACCACCACCAGCTGCAGTGACCTGAACGAGGGCGAAAATGCGGGAATGTTGGCCAGCTTGGTCGAAAAGTTGCACCCGCCCCTGCGGATGACGATGACCTGGTGGTCTCGCGGGGCAGAGTCGGGGAGGACGGCGTCGCAGGCAGTGCCGGCCGCGTAAATCGTCGACCAGGGGAAGTGCTCTATCGGGACGGGTCCAAACTCGGGGATGCGAGGCGCGCGGGGTGGGATGATGTGCGCTGGTAGAGGGGCGGCGCCAGCCCTGTGGGGGTGACTGCTGTTCGGTTTATCACCAGGTTGTAGGGCAGGGCCTTTTTGGGGGTGGAGGACCTAAGCCCCGGGATGGAGGTGGCGTCTGGGAGCTGGAGGTCCAATGAGGCAGCAATTTGGTTGAAGAGTGCTTTGACCATGGAGCCAAAAGCTGGAACAGAGACCCGGGGAGAGGCAACGGGGGGAAGCTCGGCCTTGGCGAGAAGGTCTTGTAGGAGGTCTGCGTCGAGCTCTTCGAGGTCTTCTTCTTCATGGGTGTCTTCTGTTTGAGACAGTGGTTGTTGGCCAGCTTTTCTCCCATCGTCACTAGCCGCGGGCTCATCATCAAGCAGGTTGATTTGATGTAACTGTTGGAGTTTGGCGAGAACGGGGTCCTTGATCAGCGAGAATCTTGGATCTTGGATCTCGCCCAGTATGGCCCGGTCAAAGATGATGGATTCGTCCTTGCCCAGCAAAACGCCATTAACTTTGCTGACCCGCCACTCACGCTCACCAGTACCACTATCCTCCAGACGCATTGACATCTTGAGTCCCGATAGGCTGGAAACACGGATACGATCCGCACTTAATCTTTCCAGATTCTGACTGCCCAGTAGAAAGTTGAAGGAGCTGCCTCCAACAGCCTGCTGCGCGTTCGAGGCGAATTCCAGGGTCACCTCCTCTGGCTGGTACAGTTTAGCGCAGATGCCATTGTCAGGCATAAGCTCTGCAGGGAGTGTCCACGGATAAAGCGTGTAGTTTGAGCGAGCCATGTGTTGACCAGACATTTGCCCTGCATCGATAGCGTAGGCGGAAGTTGGGGAAAGCTGGTGAAGATCCAACAAGCGCGCGGCGTGGTAAATGTCATCTCTTGCTGCAACGACCGACCCTGATAATGGCGTGGTTTGGGGCCGTGGCGGGCATGTGTTTGTGTACTCCTCGTTAGGATAGACAGTCAAGTATTTGCGAGGTGACCGTCGTCGGCGAGGACCATCTTTTGGCGGAGCCTTGGGAATAATGAGTGGGTGTCCCTCGGTTGTGAAAACATAAGGGGCATCCAAAGAGTTTAGCGGGTGTTCGTCGTCAAAGAGCAAGTACATGTATTTGGCGGTCTCTCCGAGGAAAAAGCTTTCCATGCGGTCGCTCTTTTCGCCATCCAAAACGTTTTGCAGGCCTGCCCAGCCGCAAGGGGTCCAGCAACGTCTCGTGATATCCCGCAACACCATCTCACCAACGTACAGATACCAGGGGTCTTTGGTGGCGCGATATATGTGGTATGTCGACTCGATGAACTCTGGCCGCAGCGGCCACCAGCCGAGTCCACCCTCAACTGTCTTATCACGAAGTGAGTACCGCTCAGGAAGCGCAGCATACCTCGTCCATATGGCGGTGTATAAGAGGTTTGTCTCAATGGCTTCCTCAACCTCACCAGCAAGAACAAGGAGCCCCGAGTAATACGCGCCCAGGCTGTCAACCCAATTGGATACTAAAGATCCTGTCCAAAGGTTAACGTTGTCATAGTGGGGGTGGTCTTTTTCATTGTAAAGATGGCGCTTGATGGCTGCGTGTGCCAGATGCCATGCTTCCAAAAACGAATCGGCCGAGTTTTCGGCATCGTTCAGGGGAGGGAAAAGAGCGTTGGGATCCAACCAGTTGTCACTGTCGATGCCGCCCCTGTGTTTGCGTGCAGGAGCCGTCCGGTTAGGGGGCTCATGTCCAGAGAGTAGAATATGTGACTTCAAAGCATACTCGAAAAAGCTGTCAGCGCCCGCACCAATGACGGCATAAGCTCCGATCCAGTGGCCTTGCTCGGCATCCACACCAGCCCCTATAAGTCCTATCTGGCTTTTTCTGTACCAGACAGCCCAGAAGGCACGTTTTGCAAGTTGCTCGAATCGCGGGTCGCCGGTCAGACGACTCAGAACTGTAAACTCGAGCACCAGTGACCCCGCGCCAGCGCTACACGTTTCCGTTATCTCCAGTGGGCCTTCTGGTGGGTTCATGGGTGCATTCTCATGCATGGGTGAGTTGGTATAAAAGGGGATGCCATGACGGAGGTTGACACGCGGGTATGGCATTCCCGTCTTGGTGTAAAAGGCCGGCAAGAGCCTCTGTCCCAGATCCAGTGCTAATCTCAAAATTTGCCCATCGTACTTGAACCCGTTTGGCCAAACGATTGGTTGCGAATATAAGGGGTCATCCGTCTCGATATGGCGAGGTTTGTATCCGGTTATCGGCAGCGCGCCCACGGCAAACAGATGGGCACTGAGAAGCCCACCAAGGCCTCGAATCACCGTCTCAAAGACTTGAACCTTGCTGTCGACATCGAACCCACGACCACGCTGGCCTACTCCTGAAGGTCCAGGGCTTCCATCTCCGTACTGTTCGACCAAGGCGGCTACCCCATGCTGGAAATCTGCAAGGGCTTTCGGCCCAGTGCCTCGTTCATCTGGTGGCGCAGAAGCCAAGATAGCCAAGGTTGAGAGGCTGTCTATTAGCGTGAGTGAGTAGTTGCCCAGCACGTCATTGAGCTCGACATTTCGTGGGTTTTTCGCATCGCGGGTCAGTGGGACACATGATACTGGACGGAGCTTGGGTGGTTAGATGTTAGCTATGATAAAGTTACAAAGTAATCAATGGTGGCGCAAATATGCATGCATACCTCGTCCTCGGGGAAGGCAATATCCATATAATTATCAAAGCCATGGTAAAACATGTCAACGGTCTCCTGGCGTAACTCTTTTATCCTGTCCGTTGACATGGCCGCAACCCCGACGTGGCCAGGGGCCAGCATCACCGCCACAAGACACCATAGTAGCATATTCCACCCTATCCATGATATTGGGCGGAGAATCGGCCGTGTGAATATCATGGTACTCTCGGGGGGCATCTGGGCGCGGGCAGATGCGTCAATGGGAATTCGGGTTGCGTCGGATCGGGAGCCGCCATCGCTAAGCAAATCGCGATGGTCGTGGTCCATGCCGAAAGGGCATCATACAAAGTAAAGCCCGGGCGACCACATGGGGTTACTGTCCAAGTGTCGTGTCGTTGCGATCGTGCCGTCACCAATAATGCCACCTGGACAGCTTTCAAGGTTCGTGATTTCCAGCTGTTGGAGGCTTGGCGTCAGCCATTGCTGCTGTGGTGTCAAGGAAGGCGTTGCTGTCCTTCTGGAAGGACCCGCTTTTCCTGGCTCTCGAGACTTGGCAATTCACTGATGAGATGGATTACGTAAACCAGGCCATCAAGGTGCCCGTGTGCGTGACAACGAGCGCCCACAGAGCAAATCCACAATCGAAGGCTCTCGTGGGACTTTGGATGAGTTGACACTGCTAAGGCTCTCGTGGGACTTTGGATGAGTTGACACTGCTAAGGCTCTCGTGGTTATAGTTTCAACATAAACTTTGACCGAAATGTCAAGATTGTCAATCCACCAAGCCGCCAGCCACATCACCATGAAGAAGCGAGGTTCGGCTGTGTCGTACAAACGCAACGCTGGGAACGAGCCAGCTATTATGAGATAGATCGAAAGGCTCTCTTAAGTGAGGCTACTATCGAGTCTCTATGGTCAAGAAAATCTAGGTGGTTACTCTAATAGTCGGCACTAATCCTTCGTTGTACACAGTGCACCCTCTTGGAGTTCGCGGCCGTTGGTCGACGGTTTACCCACTGGAATGAACAGCCGCCAGCCCTCTCAAGTATTCCAAGTCTCAGTGACTTGTGACAAATTATGTTACTTTGCTGCAGCTCGTTTCTTTGCCTTCTACCAAGCTGTATGCACACACCCACACACCTATCCCAACCACATCAGCCGCCGATCTCCAGTTCGTTATCTTCACCTTCTTTGTGTTTACGTTCCCCAACTGACGAAGTTATGTGTGGGATGACTCTGTTCTGTCAAAGTGGCAAACGGGTAAGAATACCTCACCACCTCGTGGACCTGACCTGCGACAGGCAAGCCGCTGTCACGAACAGTGATCGTTGCTTTCAAAGCTCTCACCAGTCCTCGCCCCCAACTGCTGAAAACATGGTGACCAATCCTCGGCAGAACTCAAGCTATAAGCCGCCGAGGTATCACCTGCACCTGGTATGGACTTGCGAGAATTGTTCAAGGCAGCTAGCAGCGTGGCTTGTTCCAGCAACCAGAGTGGCGGATCCTGAAGAGCACAAAGTCCAGTCCAGGCCTATCACACCACGCTACCCCGGACGGATGATCTCGAGCCGTCCACGCCCATGCATATCAGTCCAGGTTCAGCTTTTCGCGGATGAATCCGTTTGTCCGTCGTTCGGCGGCCGTGTGAGATGTCCCGCTTTCTCCTTAGTAATTTGTGCCATGTGCACATTGTACAGACGAGAAGGATTCACTGAGGTCAATGCTCTAATATTGGTAGATTGAGCTGTGTGAAAATACCCGAGTTACCCGACGTCCGGCTGTCTCGTCTCGATTCAGTATTGTCGGCATGCGGCACAGCGGCTTGTGGGTGGTCGAAAGGAGCTATCTCAGTTAACTCCGAGTACCTACCTACGATTGGAAGAGGGTGATTGCACAGATAGATGGGGAGCGGTACGGGCTCCACGATCAGCAATTCAGAAAGTGGTTCAGGCGCCTAATAATTTTGGAAATGGGCTCGGTTTCTTTTTGGTTTTTTTTTGGTTTTTTTTTGGGGGGGGGTGGGGGAGGGGGGTGCTCGGTAGTTGCCGTTATCTCAGGCTGGTCAGAGTCCTTCGCCCCCATTGCACTCAAAACCGCGTGAGTGGGTATGTAATCCTCGAGATAGCTATTGTCGATGGGGTTCGCCCCGGTGTTATTGGTTGTGGAACAGGAGCGTTCAATGTGTGAGAAACTCAAACTGCCTCCGCGTTTGAACTCTATACATGTGCACCCAAACGGAGAGGGTTATGCAGACAGGTATCACTGCGGATGCTGAATCAGTATCCTATTCGGAACTGGCATCTGATTGCCCATCACCTGCGTGCAGTTGTCAGTTTGAAACAAGTATGAATTCGCTGGTAGGTGCGCAAACTCTCAAGTTGGCAAGAGTAGACGGTAAGTTACTCGTCAGGCATTAGCAAAAGAAAGCTTGACTTCAACTTGCTTTACGTCGAAGAAACGGAAGTCTTGACCAGTTGCTGTTATCTACCTATGTTCAAGAAATATACGGCAAGGGCCAACAAGAGCAAGCATCCCCTGTCGAGGTGGAGCAGGAAGAGACAGAAGGAATCAGATGAGAGTGATCAGAGGCGGCAAGTGTAATTCCTGTCCCGCCGTTAGACTTTTAAAGGCTTACTCCCCTTTTTACCTCGCGCTGCCTGTATCTGCCGTGGGTCGAGGCACGTGTCCGCAAGGCTCCATGGCGGCAGTTGAGCTCCTGTCTTCACAGTAGTTACTCCGTTCTCGCCTTCCCAGCAGCGCAGACGGGATTCATCAGCCCGCTCTTTCCCTTGGACTAAACTCCCAACTGAACCTGAAAGCAACCACGGGCAGGTAGCGAAGAGAGGCTCCACTTTCCCAGAGGTATAAACCCCCCTCGGGAAGAGATTGTCTGAAACATCACCAGCTTGGTTTCCCGGCATGTTGGATTCGAGGCGTGAGGTTCGTTGTCGAGGTCCGTACTGGCATGATATCGACATGCAGTCCATATGCAAAGGACTGGAAATATCAACACACTGGTCTGGTATACTTGACCCGCTCATCGACAGTAGAAACCCAATGGAGTTTGCATCCCATGATGAATCGTCATGCTCCCTTTTCTCTATCTCTGTCCCGTTACAGGCTGTACGATAACTGATTTCCTACACTGTGTATCGTTCAATTCATTTCATATCTAAGCGTTAGTTTGTCCAACCAACTCCAAATGTTCTTTTTGTTACAGATCACAACTGACAGAAACCTCCACCAACACATCTCACGGCGCTTGTTTCACATCGGACTTGTTGCTCGCACTCTTGCATTCCCGCTCTCCACCCGCAACGGCAACCCGCATCTCGGGATTCCATTCCACACTGTTGGGATGACTTTTTGGCTGTTGGTGGCTTACTGCTTTCTCACTGTGTTTGCGACATGGTCCAATCCCCCAGCTTTTTCCGCACTTTTTGTGTAACGAACATCTCACAACAAGCTTTCTTTGTTCCCGCAAACCCGTCCGTTGGAATGACGGGAGGGGGTTTGTTGGCTGCTGTCTCATGAACTGAGACTTGTTGGTGTTTTTTTTTTCGGTATTTTACCAACAGAAAGAACAAACACACCTCACACACCCATAGCTTCGGTGTGGGGTGCAGACGGAGGTGGTCATGGGACCCGACACGTGATGTCCTTCATCTTCATCACTTCACCTCCGAGGTCGTTGTCAAAGCTGACACCGATCTCGGGTTCGGAACCAATGATACCGGATGATTCGTCAATTCGCGATCTCCGATGTCTTGCTCAGGAAGCATCCATATCCGAAGAAAGAGATGCACATGCGGCTCTCGGATCTCTGTCTTGTTTCCGACCATGTTTCCGAGTTGAAAGATCCGAGAACTTGGTGAACAGGCAGGCCGCAATATGGCGCCGTATCCGTCATGAAATCCACATCGTCCTGTTTTTTCGTTTCATGGTGTTGTCAACCAGCATCTTTCTCAACGCCTTTCGGCAAAAGTCTTCAGAGACTGTGTGATATGTTGATACAGCCTCTCTACTCTCCAACGTGTGCCTCGCAGAATCCCAGACAAAAGGACCGCCCGCTTAGCCTTCGGTCCTTCTCTGCGGCGCAAAACTCCCTTGGGGCTGTGAACTTTGCTCTTCCCAAGAAAAAAAATAGGCGATACCGAAACGCCTGACTGTGTGTGTGTCTCTCTCACACACAGTTGCATCTGCTTCGCCAAAGAAAATGGCTGGGCCTCATCGAGATCGATGCAAGATGCTGGCAACAACATTGATGATAACGACAGCAACAACAAAAACCCCGATAACTTTCGGTCCCATTCCCCGCCCATCTCCCGAAAACAAAAACCAAAAATCACACTTCACATGCTTTTTAATAGAGCGACGAACCTCTTTCCCTTTTCTGACCCTAGCACTACAACTCTCCCCAAGGAAACTATCACCTCGTAAATCTCGTGTCGTAACCTGTATGCAACACAGTTCCCCCGATTCAGGTTTCTAGTGCATGTCAGGGGGAGTTGTTTTAGCTCTTTAAGGTGAGGTCCGGGCTTCCTTCCCTTCCCCCCTCCCCCTCCCCATTCCCACTTGGTGTGGGAAAGTCCGTAATCCGGACCGTAATCCGGATCCCGGGGTGTGACCTAGCCAAGGAACCCCCCGCGTTGGGCTTGAGGGGCGGACCCCGCCGACTCGGCGGTGATCCGCCCACCCGCCCGGCGCTAAAACACGCTGTCCACGGTGGGTAACGCCAGTGACGATAGCGTTAACTTGGCGGCGAGGGGGAGTTGTATTAGTTTGAAATACGGGTTTTTAATACACTATGATACCAGGCCGTGTTTTTTTTGTTTTTTGGCAACGTTACAGGAACCACCAACAAAGAACCAGCCCCCAATCTCCCCCCCCCCCGGTGATGGTGCACAGTACTTTTGTTTTCCTGGGTAAGTATGGTTTTATGGTCCGGGGTTTGGGGTTGTTTTCTCGAGGAACAAGGGGGAAAAGCCACAATACAGTTACAGTGTGTGATATCAAAGATCAAAGCCTTCCTCACCTCGTCCTCGAGTAGAAGGTCCGCTTGGGTCAAATCGGCCTGATGGATATTGCTCACCCCGTAGCAACGCGGTTTAACACGATGTTTTTGCTTGCCCATTTCCAAGAAAAGGGGGCTGTGTAAAAAAAAAAAAAAATCCAACCAGAGCAGCAAGCAAGCAGGCCACTTCATCGACGACGCGCCACTAAAGGGCCGGCGCGCCAGAGACATTAGGACCTTGCAGCAACTGATTTCGTTGTCGTTGTCAATCAATTCTCCACTTGGCACGGCAGAGGGGGGAAATGCTTCGCTCTTCGCTGTTCGAAAGCGACCCCCAAGATTTTCCCCTTTTTCTTCTTCTTTTTTTGGGGGGTTTTTTTTTTTAACAAATCAAGTTTAGCTAGCCTTGGGTTCCTTTGCTTGACGTTCCGCTGGGGCTTACTTGCTTGCTGTTAAGCATCATCATGCATTTTACGGCAATGGTTTGTTGTTGTTTTCTTGTCCCCGACGAATATCGGACATTAGAACAACAACCAATAGGAATGATGATATCTTTTCCTCTTCGACAAAGAAAGCTCACCGCCGTCCGCTGAGCAACAAGTCTAGCCTAAGCAAGTCACAGTGGCTTGCTGAGGGAGATACGGTTAGAAAAGTTCCCGTGGGGTTCCGCTCCCAGCTTGCAGAAAATCACGATGAGTTGCTCACGTGATAGATGACGAGTCGTCCCCCCAAGACTGGTAGCGTAGCGTTTGTGACCGTTTGTGGGCTTAGGGGCGCAACTTGTCGTTGACACTTGCTTAAAACCGGTAGCGTGGTATGTGAGGCTCTTGTGCTCTGCCCCACGAGCAGGGTCTGGTTTGGGCGATTTAGCCCCCGTCGGTTATCGGAGTGTGGGTTAAATAGAGAGTCTGAGACTTATACTGGATCACAACTGCTGGGTTTTGTCAGCGGCGAGAGAAAGAGAGAGAGATAGGGACAGAAAATGCAAGAGAAAGGAGATAATCATACCGAATACGCATCACTTGTTCGAGCGAGAATATCTATCTCCTCTCATTCGTTCAGTCGTATCGTGGAGATGCTAAAGTTGGCAAAAAGGTGATGCATGTCTGCAGTTTAAGAGCAATTGTCCCAAAATGGAAATTCTTGAGTGCTTATTTCTTGATCCACCAGCCCTACGGGGTTTGACACGGACATTGAGAGGTGGGTTTCTCAACTGAGAGCGGGGGAAAGCATCAGGAGTCTGTCCCTCTCTCTGCCTCTCGAAATAATGTGTCGGTTCTTCATTCAGAAGAATGTCTCTGATTGGTATTCCACAAGACATGTCAGATCCTTAAACAGTCTTGCGCCGGGTGTTCAGTCTGACTGCATTAAAACATCATCTCTGTCCATGCTGCACGACAAATCTGTAGCAGAAACTGGTGGTTGCACAGCCATCCCGTGCTACCACGAACCCTCTCCACAGTGACACCCAGCCCCCTCTCCTCTCGGATTGGCGCGACTCCGCACGCAAAACAGGCAGCCGCTCTCGGTGATTCTGCCCAGATCGACAGTGGGAGCGAAAGGTGAAGCAAATGTACAACAAGATGCGAGAAGAATCAGAGATATTCAAGTTTTTTGTTCAATTTCTGTCAATTTGCGACAAAAGTTTCGGGAGATACAGCTCTGAGAGAGCCTTCTCATATATCCTAAAAAAAAATATAAAAAAACAAATAGCCTGCCCGACCAATGGTATCTATACGTATCTGCGGTGCTTTGCCTCCCCCAAGTGTGAATCCATCCTATATTGGTGACGCCGTATGAAACACCACGCCCCCCCACCACCACCGTTACCGAACCACACAAAAAATTGAAGGCTACTCTGAATTGGCTTTGTGTTTGAGCCCAGAACAAGACAAAGGTGAATATGTGAAAATGTTGAGGGTTGTGTACGCGCGAGCATTAGTTATTTCTCCACTCTTTTGCCGAACCCAATGGTGTGTGTGTGTAATGTAAAGCCGATCTGTGAAACGTGTAGATGAACGAATAAAAGTACAGAATATGTGCATTCTTGTGTGAAAAAAACAGGTATAGTGTTGTTTATTGGGCATATGTGGCTCTTGTCTGCATCATTTGTTCGCAGGCCTGTCGAGCGACACGCTCGCTTCGGTGATGACTCGGCTCGCGGGCTGCCGAGTGTTGCGATGCGGCGTCGTCCTCATAAGCAAGCTCCATAGATTCGGGGCTCATGCTGTCTTCGACTTTGGGGGTCTTGTTAAAGATTTGGTCGAGATAGTCGTTTTCTTGTTCCGAGCTAAATTGGGGGGCGGTGCTGGCGTCGTCGCTCATCATGTCGTAAGAGGCCTGTCGTGCCGCCGCCGCCGCTGCGACATGGTGAGCATGACCCTGGAAGGCAGGGTGATGGAGACCGAGCCCGTTCGACCAGTCACCCATGACATGTGTGTTGTGATGGCTGTTTTGCGAAGTGGCCCTTCGACGGGCTGCTTTGTTCTTGCGCCGTCTTGTACCAGTCTTCTCATCAACTGTGGGCTCCTCCATACCAAGCTTGACAAGCATAGCCTCGATGTGCTGTGGCTTCCAGTCCCAAACGCGACAGCCACCGCTTTCCTTCATGCGTGCAAGTATAAGTTGATATCTCTTTTCCTCGTAGTATCGGTGGGCTTCCATAAGTCGCTCGATCTGGAAGCACTGGTTAGCAAAGGAAGACAGAGTCAAGCATTACACATCAGACTGCGCTTACCTCTCTCTTCGGCCAGACACCATACTTGGCAACGGCACGCGAGACCTTCATCTGAAGAGCCGCCTTTTCCCAGTTGCCTTGGTGCTTCTCCGAGTACTTGGCCTTCATCTCTTCCCACATGCCCTTCCCCTTCTCCGAGATGAACTCTTTCCGGAGCTGGAAGAGATACTTGTCATCATCGGGTGCATCGTCCCGCAGTGTGAGCTCATCCTGATCACCATCATCCAATTGACCATTCGCGCCTGATTCTGAACCTATTTGAGGTGTTGACTTGGGTGTGCGAGCTGGTTTTCGTGCCGGTGACGGCTTCTTGCGCTGCTGGGGTCTTCTTCCGGGACTAAGAGCCGCGTGGGACGGGTAGCCGCCGAGTAATACAGAGGGATCACGTAAGTCTTCAATGCCTCCAATTCTGGGGGTCGTGTTTGGCCTAAAGTGGGATGGGTTTGGCTGAGCTAAGACGGGAGCGTGTCCGCCGTTGGAAGGCATGCGATGGTGCATGTGTGGCGGCTGACCCAGATACGGTCCCGACGGCCCCACTTCAACATTGAAGGCGTGGTACTCCTGGAAAGGCTGGTGTATTATCTCCCCGTTGTTGGCCGAAACATTGTAGGATCCAAGATAGGGGTCGATTGGCGGTGGAACCTCAGATTTGGGAGAGGATGGGTGGTGGCTCATTGGGGGAGAGTGAGCCATGTACATGTCAAAATGCCCTCCCTCGGTGGCCGCAGGATGGACTGTCATAGGAGAGGATCCCTGGCTGCTGTTGTTGACGTCGTAACCGCTGTAGTACATCTTGGATGAGTTTGGGGGTGTTGGGACTTGTGGTCCAGGAATGGCCGACTGCGAATGGTAATTTCTCATCGGTGGCTTTGAGGTGGCTCTTTGCTGCAAAGGCGGACTGCCGGCTCCAGAAACTGGCGTGAGGAGTGTCGAGTCTGCAGCGGCTGGGTAGTTGAAAGAAGAGACTCCAGAGATCTGTTTTGTTCTGGTTAGCCTAGGGTGGATACCGTGAGATTGGCTGCCACATACAGCGCTGTAGGGGTCAAGGTCCGGTGACGAGTAAACAACAGAGGCAGGGCCGCTGGTGCAAGCAGTAGAACCGGGCAAACTATCGTGATGGTGGTGCGCACTTGGCATGAGATACTGGGCGCTGGTCATGTCGACTGTGATCCGGAGGCGTTTGAAAGACCTCCTGGGAGAACCGCTTGGAGTGCTGGAGCTGGAGCTGGTGTTGACGGCTTCTTCCGAGTCCGAGCCAAGTTTGTGGCAATCGAGAAAATCCTCAACAAGGGGTGATTCGACGGCTTCCGATCTGTCTTGTTCCATTATTTCAGCCTCAGGTTCAAGCAAAGATTCAAAGAAGATGGCGAGGTTGTGAAGGGCGTTCTCTCGAGATTGTAGTGATGTTACAGTCACTGACACCGGGGCAAGCAGGAGGGATCTCACCTTATACGCTGGACTCAATGTCTTGGAGACAATTCTGAGTGCGGCCCAGGCGTGGGGCAGAGTGCGGCGTTGAAGAGAAGGGGGAAGCTTGAGACAGAGGAGCTGACCTGACAGGCAAGGAGGAGATGCCGGGAATCTATATTCAGAGAGAGGACGGGAAGATCGGAGCTTGCCAGTGGGGCCCAGGGGGTCAACGCCGGGGGTGTGTCTTCCCCAGTTCGAGAATGCTTTGCTACACTAGGAAGCACCCCATGTGAATGATGAGGGCACTCTTTGAGCAGTGCCACACACCTCGCCGTGTTTGTACTTGCGCACTGCGTATGCGGGAGTGGTCCCAGGCAGGTACCCAGGTACAAGTACGCACCAAAGTGACAAGGCTTTCCCAAACATGGGGGCAGTTAACCGCCCGTCCACAGTTCGACATATACTGTGTCTTCACAAAAGCAGACACACGCAACAGCCCATACCAACTGGAATCGAAACCGAAACAGAAATCGACAAAGCCACTGCTATTCGAACGGAGCGGTTAGTGAGAGCGGCCGGAAGACACACTGGCAGCTCTTAGACGAGGCTCATTCCCAGAGTTGGTCGCCATTGCTATGGCCCATCTCTCGTCTCGAAAGGCGTTCTTCCCCAGGCCTGCGATTTTCCATGCAGCAGCCCAGGAACAAGCCCATCAAGGAGGGGTGTATCGTAGCCAAGATCATCCTGATTGATGGCTAGACAGACGGCTTGCTCCGCAGGCTCAGACTGGCTCAAGAACGAGTAAACGTGGGGATGCGCCGCGGGGACCGAGAGAGGCAATCCATGGAGCTTGGAGCCCGACAGGGCAGACACGGAACGTTGTCTTGGATGCATCCAGCACGCAGGGAGGTCAATTCCAGGACAAATTATTAATGCAGAAACGGCAGAGAATGTACCTGTTAGCGTTTGCTTGATCGGGCAGAGAGCACCACTCCCAAAATTGAGCCCCGAGCTCAGGCGGCGATAGGGCTCTAGCTTTGGGGGACGAGAGGGGTCCTTGAACCCGAACAAGGGGGACGCTTTCTTGGCCAGGAGACCAGTCTCCCCCCGGGAGCTCCAATTGTGAAGGCGGCGGAGACAAGAGCTGCAGGGTGCTAATAAGGTGTGACCAAAGGTGGGGTGCACGACATGGGTGTTGAATCAACCCTTGAATACTGTATTTACCGTAACAGCATGTTACCGAGCAGCTGGAGTAGGTACCGTGACAACAACCACAATCACCACCGAGATGGTGTGTAGACCCCCTGGCTGGGAGAGGACGACAGAGAGCTTGAGCTTAATCCAAAGCCCTTGTTGCGCCACCAATGTGGGACACCCTATCCAAACAGCCGCCCCTCTTGCTGTTGGTGGCTCATAGACGCCAAAAGGAACCGTCCGCCCGCCTGGCATATGTTCATCGTGGATGCTTGCCATAACCGCGAGCTAGCAGCCAACTGCGTAGTTTAGGGCTGTCCCGGCGTCTATTTCGTGTGTCTGTATGATATCCGACAAAGTGATGGTGAGTTATCAGATGGTGTTGTCAGAAGTGCTGGACAAATGCCGAGTCCCAGTTGCGGTAAATACTGGTGATTGTGAGCATAGAGATCGACCGTTCAGCCGTCACAGGGTCGGGGACAAGACGTGGGGAGTTTGGTAGAGGTGGTTGTACGAGACTAGACAGAATTACCCCGCAGAACTGTATGGTGTAGAACTTCGAGTCCGTGAAGGTGCCTTTCTGCTCACCGCTTGCACTCCATTTCATTTACCGGCCCACGGCGGCCAGAAACGGGACCGTGAGGATGATGTGTAGCCGCAAGGTGGTGAGAAAATGGCCTCTTGGAAGAGCTGGCTGTGAAACCATGAAACGGCTGTGCCAGTCATACCCTGAGACTGTCGTACTGGGAGAGAGGCTGTGTCACCTCAACCACACCTTCAAGTCTGGCCCGACAATCGCTGCCGAGCTGCAGCAGTAGTAGAAGAGAAAATGGCATGCCATCGAGGTAAAAAAGCGGTCAGAGAGAGAGATGTGCTGAAGAGATGGCCCACAGGGTGAATGAATGGAAGCCACATGCAAGCGCCATCACTGATGGTGCAAGATGCTGCTTTGAAATTGGCCATCTTGTCTTGCGTGCGTCGATGCAATGGTGGATGCCGCGGGATTAGGCCGGCTTTAGGCTGGAGGGGAGAGTGGGGAATTATAGAGCCAATCATAGCACACCTTCTGAAGAAGGAAATCGATGACTATCGTGCATGGGCCATCGTATGTTTCCACAATGTTTCGTTCGCCTTTGGGCTTGCACCCCAATGCAACATCTTGGCCAATCTTTGTCCCCCAAAGGCTCAAGGGCCAGCCACGACAACAACCCTCCAAGCATCCAAGACACGACAAATGCTCAACACGAAAAGAACCTTACGTATTCCTCGGCTATCCCAGAACCACCACTGCTGACTATGATTCCCTTTTAGAGTTCTCCAAGACGCTGTGTAGAAATCCGTCTTGTGCCTTTCACTACCTCGAGGCTTTGTCTCTTCTCACTCTTCTTCCTCACGGGCTCTAAAAACAGCCATGGCTTGTTTCGAACCCTTCGCCGAGCGTGGCACAGAGCCGGTCGGCCGGTCGGCCATCTGCGTCCTTCAGGGCAGTGAAAGATGCTGTGTGGCCCGGGCACCACAGCTTTGGCGGTTGGCGCTTGAGGTGCGGCAATCGTCAAGGGAGCCAATCTCGTCGATTACCGGTCCGCCGGGTACACTAGCCCGCTTAAGCGCGTCTGCCAACCTGAATTTCTTCACAACTGAGATGATGAACTCGAAGAATCCGCATGATAGCCGCCTGCCTGAGAACTATTGAGTTTGGGGCCCTCGGATCTATCTACTATCAGTGTGCGACTCGACCAGTTGGGATAAGGTTTCGAAAGTCAGAAAAGATGATGAACTCTCGCCCATCGCGCTTAAGCAGAGCCGCCATTGGCTGCAGAGGCGACTTTATGCAGCCATCACCACCAACAGCCGCTGGTTAACGCGCCCACATTGTGGGAAAACGCGGGGAAAGGGCGAGGTTAGTATGGAAGGCATTGGATCCTTCAAGGGCTTCCCAGAGACTGAGATATACGAAAAACGAAAATGAGATACACCTGGTCCTGAGATGATGTTCCACGCCGAAACCCATCGGGGCCTTCAGCTTGACCATGTTGTCATGACATGGCATTGCGCTAATGCTGGGCGTTGTCCCGTCCCGCAACTAGCTCTGTCAGTTCGCCAATCAAGCCTTCCACTACAGGGTCCTCGACAGATAGACTTTCTACTTTTGGCTGTCACCCACCCCGGCAGATGCTCCATCACAGTCATGAAATGAAGCTATTATCTGACCCTGCTGGCAGTGCAATACAACTCAGCTTGTCTAAAACTTGACAGTCTCTTTCTCTTATCGAGAAACCCGTGACGCGTCCTTCTCACGGAAACCCAGTGCCTGTCCAGCTTCGAAAAAGCAACGGGTCCCGTTCGGGGCAAGCTTGGGCCGCAGAGTTGCAGTTGATGTGAGAACTCTGCAGGCAAGCGCCCTCGCAGCATTGCTGGGAGCGAATCTTTGCTCCCATTGGTCACCGACGGGCTGTCAACTGCAGCGGACCACACCACGAGTTCATTATGGAGGAGCAGACGACCGCACGCCTGTTCCAGGTTTCAGTCTCGGCCCTGAAATCCGAAGTTCCGGCCCCGGGCCTAAGGGACCAAGAACTCTCCGCCGTATCCCGCCATCAGCATTTTGCCCGGTTTTCGTCCCTGGTCATGCCACCGTGTGCTCGGCTTTCCATTTCGTCAGCTGTGCTGCATGCTGGCCGCCGGGCACACTTGATGAAATGTAGGTAACGCAAAAATCACCAACAAACTTTGTCAAGTACCGTCCCGCCCCGTGTGAAGCCGCCTCCACGGACCCGGTGCTTTGGAACGATGCAATAAGGATCACAACAGCTTGCAACGGATGCGGCCATGTCACTCGGGGAGCGAGTCGTCTATCGTCTTCTTGCGCCCGGCTGTGGTCATAAATTGACCCCACGCACCTTGGCAGCAGGAGTAGAAAACCCCCAATTGTTATCGGCCTAGGAAGGGACGGTGGAAGATGACATCCCCACTGGCTTCGCGTCGGCCCGTCTTTGGTGCTCTTGTCAGAATCGATGTATCAATGCGACATGGGGCCCATGGACAAAGATTATCATCACGACCAAGTTGTTGATCCACACAACTGTTGGATAGGCCTATCGTGTCCAGTGCTTCGGACCCAGATGCAGACGGGGAAACCAGGGTTGACATCCGGCCTTCTCATGGACTGCGACTGGATACAGCTTGCCCATCGAGTTGATCTCCACACCGCCGCCCTTATCTGCTACCCCTCAGTTCGAATATTCGTCGCCTCGGGACATCACCATCCGTCAAGCACGGCAGTGTCGCTGACGGTGGCTGTTCGATTTTACCAAGTTGAAGGATGACCCTGTTGCACAACATTGGGAATAGAGACCCAGCAGAAGCGAAGGCGCGTCACAGAGTGTTGTGGACGAAAGATGGCGAGCTCCTACCCGCAGTCGTGTAACGAAAGCTAGGTCCTCTTCGTCGTAGAGAGCGCTGCTCCGCGGTTCAAGATAAGCTTGTGCGACAAGGCTTGCTTGTGCAACTGTCATTCCACGTAACACACACACCCGGCTATCGAAAAGCCCTCAAGCCTTCTCGGGAGGATATTAAAGATCGGAATTGAGAAGATCAACCGCGTGTTGCGGTGACTCTAACATTTACAATTAGCCGGCCATGATTCAGTACATACACTGACCATGCAGCCAGTTGCTCACGTCCTATCAGTCACCGAGGCTGAGGCCAGCGAGGGTTAGTAC